AATTATATGTGAATTTTCTTACTTAGGCCCTGTTTGGTACACATTATTTTTTTCATTCTCATTCTTCTACTCATTTTCAACCACACATTCTTCAATAAAATAATATTTTCCATCACATTAATAACTTTTCCTTCATTTTTAACCACACATTCTCCATCAATCTACTATTCAATAATACATTCTTTCAAAAGAATGTGTCTCAAACACATTCTTAATTTTAGCTCCAGATGAATTTTCATTACTTGAGATTGTTCAAGAGTTATTTTTCAATTTCAGGTATTTTTAATCTCAGACGCAAGTCACACATGGAAATTTTATTCCTATTTCTTTACTTTAGAAGAGAAAGGAAACAAAAATTTACTCCATTATTTTTTCGTTCTCGTGTGCAGATGTATTCTTCATCACGTCTCGTGTTAACATATTTTGCATGGTTTAATTGTTTGCAGCATAGCATGAAGGAGGATGTGGGAAATATAATAGCACCATTGATGGTGAGGCCAATCACGCGTTGGCCCTTCTTCGCCTTTCTGGGTGGAGCCATGTTTTGCTTGTTAGCAAGCAGTACATGCCACTTACTCTCTTGTCATTCTGAGCGCATATCTTACATCATGCTCAGGCTCGACTATGCCGGGATTGCTGCTTTGATCTCAACGTCCTTTTATCCTCCAGTCTATTATTCTTTCATGTGCTATCCTGTCCTCTGCGGTCTCTACATAGGATTCATTACTCTCCTGGGCCTTTGTACAATCTTAGCATCCCTTCTTCCCGTATTCCAAACTCCCGAATATCGTAGTTTTCGAGCAGCACTCTTCTTCGGAATGGGCGTGTCAGGTGCAGTACCTATTCTGCACAAGCTCATCTTATTCTGGCACCAACCCGAGGCACTCCACACAACAGGGTATGAAGTTTTGATGGGAGCATTATATGGTATTGGAGCATTGGTTTATGCTATGAGAGTTCCCGAGAGGTGGATACCGGGAAAATTTGATATTGCAGGGCATAGCCACCAACTTTTTCACATCCTTGTAGTAGCCGGAGCTTATACTCATTACC